CAGTTTATTTTACTGATGCCTCGTCAAGGCCTTGAAAGGTTTGTACCCCCTGGGATCTTATGTCTCGGTTTGGTCCCATTTTGCAAGCCCCTGGGTAGGCATTCTTGTCACAAGAATACTTATCACAGGCCCATTACATGGAGAGGTTGCCCTTTAGAAGTGACAAATGCACGTTCTGGGTGGGAAGTGCGGGTGATGGGGTGGGGACAACAGAGAAGAAACAGTTTAGGATCTGGATCACCCATTTGGGTGAACTTACTGGTGAGCACAGTCTTGAATAGCATGTATTCATCATCAAAGGGACCATCCTCATCATCCAGAGGGGTGTTGAATCCTTCCAAGACCGTCTCTTCATACATCTCATCTTCATCCTCATCTTCGTTTTCCCTTCCTTGGGCCTGTTGTTCGCAACCAATGAATCACCAAAATAAATTTGACTGCCTTTCTACCGAATGTGCCCCACTGTATCTGACAACTGGAAAGCCTTTGTTGGAAACTGTTAGATTCTGCAATACACATAGGAGTCAGGGTACACTGTATATCGAGTGTTCTGCTGTGAGGCATTCATCCAGTACACTCCTCATGGATTCAAAGCCATTGTAACCCTGTTTTAGATACCGTATTTTCACTGGCCCAAAACTAATCACAACTGGGTGAAAAAAGCACGTCATACTCATCATTGGACTTCACACATCCAGTCTAGTCCTTATCCCACAGCACAGTCCAAACCACAGTACTGGGATCGGTACCTCGGCTAGTTTCACCATATACCGTAGTTACACAGATCTCCTAACATTTGAATCCCTAAATTCCCAATTAGTCCTGTGTCAGTCACCCCACGCAAACTGTCAATAACACATTCCTACTTTGATACTTATACTTTTTTCAGCCTCCTGTGCTCTTGCTTCGTATGTTGAAGTTTCGTATCTCGTTTTTGTTTGACCACAGTGATACTGTCTGTTTGGCTACATTATTGTGTAGAAACATTTTGGGTAGCAGTGGTCCGATGTGATCAGTTACAGCTGGTGCCAGATTATGTTCCACTAAGAGTTCTGTTGCATACACCTCAGCATTTATCACGTCTAATTTCTGCAAAAAATGGCTGAATGCTGTTAACTGGGGCCCATCTTGCACAGACTCGGCACACTAACGATGTTTCTGTGAGCTGACATGCTTTGCACAGGCATGACAGTCCCCGTGTCCATGGGTAATAAACAAGTCCACAGAACAAACACTGCAATGGGTGGAGCTCTCCCCAAATCGCAATGGTCCAATACACAGCCATTCCTCCTGATGTCTTGGTATCTAGATACCACTATTGTTGGTACTGTTTCTTTTCCGTTACTTTCGGCATTTTTTTATTACGAATTTCATTGAAAGCAATCACAACACAACACGCGCTGTTGTTGACATCGATGCCACAAAAGTCATGTTTCACTGGTATTATTAATGCACATACACGATTTCCTCAAAATCTTTTTTCTTACCAGATGTAAAAGACACTGTTTCCAAACAAGACACATGCAACCAACACAAAGAAACCAATATGGAAATGCACCGAGTCTGCCCGGACCGAGATACTCATCGTCACAAATAAATTTGTGACCTTCAGGTGAGGAAATTTCACAAAGAATTCAAGACTCTCGCCTTGGGTTCCCGAGTCCTTCGGGTTTTTGAACATCACATTCCACACACAGCAGCAAGGCGCTATTTACAGCTTCACTCTGTGTCATCATGCTGCATTTAGCAGGTGTTTTCAAAGGATTCGACAGCACTGAAGAGGTCATCTTGAGAAAAACTAATTGTAGTAGGGTTCACATTGATTAGGCTTACATCTTGAACAAGTATGAGTTGAGATTGGTTTCAGGAGCTACAAAGCAGATCAATCCACAAGGAATGTAATAATTGAATGCCACCATCGTGAGGTGCTGCTAACCACGGACTGTGGCTGACAAGCCTTTGACTGCTTCTTGGCAGCTTTTTTTAAAAAGAAAACACAGAGTAATTTTAAAGTAGCCATTTTTTTGGAGTTCACAGATACTCACAAGTTTCTCAAGGTGCTCCAGATACTCGGCCCCTTCTTCATCTATGTCATCCTCGTCGCTGTCCAGCACTTGCTCTTCATAGTCGCTGTCATCATCTTCTTCATCAGACTCTTCTTCCTCCACGAGCACTCGACCTGGAGTGGAATTAAAAACGTCCACAGTCGAATGGTGAGAAAGTAATTGGTCAGTATTACACAATGCACACTAAGCAAATAAAGACAGAAGTTATGGGTGACGTGATGTGAGCATAGCCATATCTGAAATATTCAGCTATGGCTGGGAAACCACAGGCTAGCGGCTGCAAACGTTTCCCATAGACACCTGTGCTTCTCCAAGCCGCAGGCAACCAATATGGACATGACCACATCCTCTCTGTGCATGGCTTACTGCATTTTTTTCCAACAGTCAACTGCAAGTTTGAGTGACATGTGGTTTATCGATGATGAATTGTTGAATTTATCAATACATCACTGGCTTTCCTATGCTTACTTCAGTTCCCTGGACAGAAGCAGTAGTGCAACAATGAACCACTGAAGTATCTGACTTGTGACAGTTAATCGATGATTGAAGGTAGTTTTTATCAAGGTATCACTCACTTTCGTACGCCCTCTTCAGCCCCCTGAACAGCAGCAGCAGAGCGGGTATGAACTGTTGCGAGCACTCCATGACCACTGGCGGCAGGTTGGGTAGCGACAGCAAGGTGCATATGCCCAGGACGCACATCTTACGATCATGAAGCCTGCAATTAGAGGACACTGAACGGTTAGAGACTGGTTGGGGAATCTATTTTCCAAAATTATGGTTTCAAAAACACTAAAACTATCTAGCAGAAGTTTTTGGATCTGCAAAACGTCAAAGCACTGTATTTAGAAGACACTTTTGAAAGCAAAAACGGGGTTTGCATTTCAATTTTACATTCATCATTTTCTGATGTTAATCTGGCTTTTTTTCCCCAAAGTGTAACATTATAACAAATTATGACTGACTCAACCTCTAAAAGTCCCCGGGATTTTTTTGGGTCAAAAATAGCAAAATTCACAAAAACTCAGCAACATCACACCCTCCTCAGGGTACTGAATTCAACAAAATCCTAAAATTCATATAAATTGTGCAAAATCATGCCCCTACTCAGGATAACAACATATGGAAACGAATTCCAAAGTCCACAGAAATCCTACAAACCACACAACCCTGCTCAGGCTACTCGTGATAGCCTGGCGTGCTTTCGGTGGAGGGGGGCTCACCCTAGGAAGCAGTCCGTGTCATGCAGCCACTGCTTGATGAACTGTGTGGTGACCGCCTCGTTGGTGTTGGGGATGGTCATCTTCTCCAGCGTCTCCATTAGCAGCCGAGGGTTGTAGTAGAGTGCCGCCACCACCACCTGCAGGCACATCTGACGCAGCTCTGTGGTCTTCACCTCCTTGGTCAGTCTGGTCATGACCACCTCGATGAACAACGGCACACACTGTGAAAAGACGTACAGAATTCACACACTCAACACAGAGTTCCCACAGAAATCTCAAAACCAAATTTTAGAACTTCTGAAGGACTTTCCAGGGCTGAAATTCAGCAGAGAAATGTTTTTTGGTATTACGAACTGAACAAAAAATTCCATAGCCACTACTGCAGACTGAAAAGAATAGGCATCTAGCTGGTAAATTTATCATTACAGTTGAGCCATGTTAATGAGACGTTGTCCAGACTTGGCAAATTACCTTGATGTAACAGGACCTTGTAATACCAGGAATGAAAACAATGAAACAAAAGCCGGACTGGGACCGAAATCTTTGCTTGTTATTAGCAGAATCTTGTATTAACAGTGCTTATTAACAAGGTTCGACTGTATTCCATTATCACATCAAAAGCAGCCATCAAAAAAACCCTTGGATGAATTAATGTCTGTGGCCTTGGGCGCAACTATCGCAACTATTAAAAGCCCACTGACAACTGAGGTGTGTGCTACTGCTGTACCTCAGACAAAGCCTCAGTAAACAAGTCTTGGCTCCTCTGCGCAGAACAGGGCATAGAGAAATGCAACAAGAGGTGATGTATGCTGCCATTTTGTTTCCAAAATGGTTGGCAGCTATGCATGGGACCAGTTTGCAGTTGAGACCTCTTACAGATCATCACAAGACCCCAACAAGATCAACGGAAAACCTCCACTCTGAAATCAAGTCACAAGCTATTAGGATGAACTGGGAAAAAAACTTTTTTTCTCACGATTCACCATGTTACCTGTCCATAGTCTTGTGCATGGTCTTGTGTCTGGTTATGTGTCTGGTCTTGTGTCCATGGTCAAGTGTCTGGTCTTGTTACTGGTCTTGTGTCTGGTATTGTGACTGGTCTTGTGTCTGGTCTTGTGTCTGGCAATTAGCACCCTCCCAGCTCAGGCAGCAGATATCTCATGATTCAACATCTCCCTAACCTGATCGATCTCTCCTTTGTACTGCAGCAGCAGGACCTCCAGGAGCTTGGCAGCATGGCTCTCCTGGTCATCCCCTGGCTCTTCTTCCAGTACCTTGGAGCAAAACAAAGAGAAAGCAAACATCCAAAAATTGCAGTCTAAAAGAGTACAGGTAAAATGACGTCTTAGAGTCACGAGCCTCGTCTTCTCAGACTTAATCTCTGCAAATCTGAGACCGAGTTCCAAAAACCCGTAAAACTTCTTCTTCACTCAAATTCCACCAGGAAGCTTTACTTATGACTGAGGACATTACACAAAATTAAGGGACAAATATTTGAAGTTTATGAGTGGACTTTCACAAGCTAACAGATGAAACGTTTCTATTTACAAGGCAAAGCAAAGTGGAATAAGCAAAACCAGTAAATTCAGTCTTCTATGAACCACTGTAGAACATGATTCAATGCCAATGTATCTCTTTCTCACCTAAATAAAGCCCTATCTGAATAAAACCATCTATCACCCACTAATTCATCCATTTCTTTTGACCAGACAACAATATTCACTGGTGGAGTGGCTCTACTGTGTTTGCAGCTGGGCCCTGCTACCGTGGGGACACGTCATTCAATGACATGCGACCAATGATCTACCAATCAGATGAGGAGCAGTGGGTAAGGTGCTATGAAAGTAAATACGAGATGAACTTCGCGGGAAAAATGAGGCAGCCCCCCCCAAAAAAAATTCTGGGTTGTTTTAGACAGGTACATCAATCAAGGAAGTCCCTCACCTTTTTGCACATGTTGTAGACGATCTCAAGGTGTCTGGAATTTGACAGGAAGGCAGGAGGATCTGTTGTAACATAGTTGTGCAGTGCTGGCATCATTTCTGGGATAAAGAGAGATAGCTAGGGTATGAAAGTCCAGCTATGCCGCTTTTCATAAAAGGATCTTACCGTGCTGGAACCGAAAAGGAACTAGTGGAATAATGTGACATTTAAAAAGAAATTCCACAATTCCGATTACTCACAAAGTTGAACCCTTTCTACAAATAAAATGTTCTTTGGATAAATGCCAGGTAACAAAGCACGCTTTGGGGAGTCAGGTGCAAAACTCGCCACTGTCAGCCAAGCCTTGTGGTAGTCGACTGCAATTGTGAAACACTGATACAATTTGGGGCAAAGGGTTGTTCATATTGTAAGGAGATATCGTGAAATTTCCAAGATGGAACCTGTAGACATCTTAACTAAAAACCCAAAAACATGCCATTCACTTATCCGTGTTAATTAGTTTTGTTTTTCATTAAATCTTGAGTTACAAAATTGCTATTTAGTTTATCCTAAAAGTCGTGACGCTACCGCTCAGGATCGATCTCTAATGCATGCTGTGGCGAATCTCGGTTGATTTGCAACTACATAATGTTCAGTATGTTTTGTGCACAAAAAATTGGGAGCCAAGGACAATGTTCGGTACAGCCGGTATAGCGGTGTTCGATATAGCAACATTCTACTGTATTATCAGGAATGAAAACAATAAACAACAAAGGATTGGGACCAAAACATTTCCTTGTTATAAGCAGAATCTTTTATTAACAGTGCTTTTACTAATGAGGTTTAACTGTATACACAATACTTGATAACAGTGAGTGGGTACATGTACACTGTTGGTCAAGCGCTTTCCAATCAACAGTTTTGAAAGTACATGTCATGTTCAATTTTCTAAAGATGGCAATGGCTGGACCAAGAAAGAAATGACAGCAGCGACCTACCCACAAAGTAGTCGTAGCCATCCGTCTCAAACGTGCTGTAGAGCATCTCAAAGACTTGCCAGAGGGGGGGTGATATGTGGGTGCAGGTCATGCTGAAGATGAGTGACATGACCTCCTCGTAAAAATCTGGGGGGGGGGGGAAAGACGGGACAACAGTGTCTTACTGCTGGTACTGGAGGTTTGCTGGGGAGGGCTGTCTCTAGAACTGGGGGGGCCAATTTCACAGAGCTGCTTAAGCACAAAATTTGCTTCAGCACAAAAAATCCTTGCTTAAAAAACAAAGGTTACCATCTCAAAATCTATGTGATTGTCATGCTAACCAAGTGAAAGATGAATACTATTCCAAAACAATATAAATCACATGGAGTTTTGGCTGGTAACCTAATTTGTCAAGCAAGGGTTTTATCACACTAAAGCAAATTTTGTGCTTAAGCAGCTCTATCTGATTATTAAGTTCTTCGACACTGAACACTGCGATTACTCTCACATGGCCTGCGTGAGCAAAACTTCAACACCGTATATGTAAATCAAAAGGTTTAGGTACACTCATTGTACACTCAACCTTTCAGCGAGCATTATGCCTGGAAATGCAAGAGAGCACTTTGGACCTTATTTGAAAATGTTCACCCAGAAGCTAATTTATATTCCATTCAGTAACGAAACAGCTCTGCAGCACACAAAATGAAAAGCCTGCAAAAATTTCAATACATATGAATTTTGCTTAAATGAGATTACTGTATACGCTGACGCCTCAAATACACTAATATAAGCAAAACCCAACACTTTTGTGAAGGGTTTAGTCAAGCCTGAATTTTTTCCACACTAAATTTAATGTGGTAGGGTCATATAAATATTAAACCAATAAACAGCACCTTGCATAATCTGTAAATAATGATTTCAAACTTTGTGTTCAACACTGAGACGACGCAAAGAGAAGTCTGTGTTGGCAAACAGTCTACGATTTCAAAGATGAACGAAAGGCACAGCTCACCTAGTACGTTGTTCTGTAAGACGACCGCGACAACATTAAGAACTATACCTTCTAGCTGTAACACAATCTGTCAGAGAAGAACAATGACCAGAGGGCAAATTTCAATAAACAGCCTCATTGGAACACAGCAGGCACCACTGTCTCCTAAAGGAGTGCTACAATAGCCACTTTTTTACACCAGAGATACTCAAGAGACAGCTCGGAATCAAAACAACATGCAATTTGTTTTACCTCTTGTTTTTCTTCAACAACATTCAGGATAGTCTCGATAGTGTTCAGAATCCCCATGGCCGTGGCTGCACGGTCGTCAACACTCTCCTCCGAATCAATCACCTGGGAGAATGTGGTCGCCTAGGAAACAAAAACACAGATATACAAGTCAGCCACATTACAACAGAGGAAACAGTTCGGCCTTCTGAAATTGAAGGCGAGGTACGATGGAGTGCGATAGAAAATGACAATGGCACCACATGAGTGCTTCCCTGCGGTGATAGTTCATTTTCTGGTTGGTGATGACTCCATATGGGTAGACCTGATTTTCAAAACTTCTTCAAACTTGTACAGTTCGTATTCCCCAAGGCACATTCTGAGAATCCCAAGATCCAAACACTTCAGTTGTCATGCCGACTACCAATGCTTTGTGACATCTGCAAAAACAAACCTGATCTCACTGGACTCGGTAAAGGCACTTACCAAATGCTGAGTGATATCGATGGCGATCGGTATGATATCATCGCCGTAGGTGGTGATGAGTCTCTGCATGACTTCGGTCAGGTCGTCGTTCTCCGTTTTTCTGATCACGTACAGCAGGGCTGTGGAATTGAAAAGTGACAGTAGGATTTATCCTAAGAGATTATTGGTACGTTACAAAATATCAATTTTAGCAAAACGGCCTGACGTCATTTTTCTTAACCTGAAAAGACAAAAAATTGCATTCAACATCCTGAAGGCAAAAAGGCAGTTTGATCCTAAACTGCTACCTGTGACGACCTGGGGTCGCCCCCAGCTTGGAGCAAAAGTGCCGACTGGATTGTCAGGTTTTTGTCTCCCTGAATACTTCAAATCTAATCATTCCTTTTGTCTTGTTTTTTCCCTCCAACTAGCCATGTGACTATATTACTACAAAGTGGAAATCTGATTTCTATAAGTCGCTGACTCCAAATATCAAATGTTAATGTCACCTCAAGTTTTGGGGGAAATTCTGAAATCAAGCTTACTGCAAGAGGGCTAACGCCCCAGCTAAATTTTGGAGAAATCTCTTGCGAGTTGAACTTACCTTCAAGAATATCCTTGATGTAGGGTTGGACATAATGCTTTGCCTTCTCTTCATGGCTGGTAATCAGCTCTTGCAGAGCAATGGCTGCCTCCACCTACACAATCCCAGATCAAGTATGGTGGTTACAGGCTGTGAAACAGGTGCACTGCCTTTTAATAAATACTTGTACGGTAATATTTTTTAATACCTGGTTAGATCAGAGACTTTGCAGTTCAGTTCAGCTATTCAGTTCAGTTTTTGTATGGTCGGGTCATTTCAGGTCAGGCAAGGTCATGTCAGATCAGTTTATTTCATCTCAATTAGTCCAGTCTAGTTCAGTTCAGATCATTTCAGCTGAATTCAGACAAGTTCATTTCACTGGAGTTCAATCTAGTTCAATCCAGACCAGTTGAGTTTGGTCCAGTTGAGTCCAGCTTTGAGTTCAGCTCAAGATCAATTAAGTCCAGTTCAGTTCATGTCAGTTCATTCAGTCCAAGTCCGCTCCAGTTCAATTTCATTTTATATGTGTAAACACCATGGCTTCACATTAATCATGTTCTATATCACTAGATGTTCACGTCTGACAGGTCTCTTTGCGACTTCAAATACGATCCTGCACTTTTAATTACCAGCCCTCTAACTGCTTACATGTCTAAAAACACAAACACATCTTGCACACCTTTTGAACAAACTCCTGGTTTTTTGAAGGAACAACGGGAGTTTCCAACTTTGTGCAGAATGATGAATTATAAACATCACCTCCAAACTTCGCTCATAATCCAAGAAGAACAGTGTGTGCATGTGCAAGAAGGTGGAGGGCATCATACAAAAGGAGAAAAAAAAATAGCAGAATCCGGATCTCTTAAACGTGTGTCTTTCCCGCCAAAACTTTCCACAAAAAGGCATGAACAGAGACACTTTTCTTTTTCAACGTCAGGGTGCGTACCTTGACAGGCATTTCTTTGTCGTGGATAAGGCTGTTGCGGGTCAGGTCCAAGGCCGTCATCAGGTTGCGTTCGTTCTTGAATTTCGCTTCGCAGAATTGATGCAGCACGTAGTTGGCCTGTTGGGGAAAAAGGAGCGAGTTTCATACACTTCTATCTGCAGGGGAAGCTAATGCCCTAATTCGGGCATGAGAATGCACCACAAACCATTAAGATGGGGGTGAATTTAGGGTTGTCAGCCTCCAAAGGCAGCATGTGTTTGAACACATTAGACAACGATCCGCTTTCATATTAGTTTAACAGTGAACAGTGTCAATGGTCAAAGTGGTGAACGTTAGATATCCGATCATAAAAATTGGGTTTTAAGAGATACAATAATGGACTCAATTGACTCGGAATTAGCACTTTGCAGCTGCAAAAAAATGTAGGTAAAAAATGTACACCGACGGTAGATATATCCTTTTACTTTCCTACTTACAAAGTCCGGTGTCAATCTCACTGATCTGTTGAACTCAAAAACTGACTGGGTGAGGAAAACACGGCAACAGCAGGTTACCAGCAAACATGTCACACACTGTGCAATTCACAAAGCTGGATACCAGCTGATTCTCTACTGAACATGTAAATTTGGCTAGTAAGCATTTAATATCTGCTGCTTTTTAGCAACTCTAAGAAATTGGACCAAGAGAGCATAATCAGCAAAGGCCCCTTTGTTTGCCTGTGTTGCTCAGCAACAAAGGGACTTCTCCTGATCACGCACGACGTCAATCAAAATCCCGCTGGCCCACTCACCCTTGCTCTCATGTGGCCCAGCTCGCTGTTGAATTCTGGGAAGATGTTGGTGACCAGGACCTGCTCCATACGGTCTTTGTACATCTTCTTCTACTCGGAGCAAATCCAAAAGGCGAAATAAAGAGAGAAAACATTGTAAATCAGTATTGCTACTACCTTCTTTTATACACTGCTTCCCTTTTTCAAACACACTAACTTCTTTTACACACACTACCTCCTTTTTCACATGCAAAGCTAGGATCCATCGTATCCATTACAACTGTGAGTAAACACAGTCAGTTTCTGTTGTGATGTGGTCCATCTTGGGCTGTGTCAGAATCACTTGGCTTCGGCTGGAAATTACACACAACTCTGTGGGAACTGGCCGCAGCCACTACCATGAACTCATGTGCAACTTCAAGCTGCAGCCAAGTGATTCGGACACGGCCTTATCTACTCAAAGGGGTAAATATGATGCATGCACAGCGTGCACCTCAAAAGGACATCACTGTTAGGTAAAAAGTTGCCATTTGCCAGTTCATTAGCCACAAAATCCACTCCAGGTGGGTGTCATAGTGGGCATGTGTTCAAACAATAGCCACATGCATACACAAGCTCACATGTGTTTGGCATGAGATGTGCTGAAGACAGGGCTTAATTCACCCGGTGCACGCATGCACCAGTGCATGTAGATTTTTGCTTGTGCACGTAGCTTTTTTACTGAACATGCACGACGTGCATGTAGCTTTTTAACCACCAAAATACTTATTTCCTGAATATATTTACCAAAAACTGAGAATAAGAATAAAATTTGTTGAATTCTCGACCAGATAGTGTACAAACATGTTATTTCTTTCTCCCATTCCTCACAGCAGATTCATAATACATGTACCCACCTAATCTTAAGCTTTGGCTTCTAATCCTTAAATTGCTATACAGGAATATGCGCTACTGATATTCACAAAATTACGGTGCATGTGAGTCTTTCCTGGTGCATGTATGTTTTTTGGTCTACATGCACCAGTGCATGCCACTTTTTTTGTGTAAATCGAGCCCTAGCTGAGGACAAGAGACCAATGTCTGGTTAAAACACAAATCTCTGATGGTGAGCTGCCCCCCCCCCCATGTGCAAAAAGCTTCCTACACGCCTGTCCCTTCTGCATCAATCGGGGTGGGATATCGACTCGGAGGTGGACCCTATACCGTTTAAAGACCACAGCCTCTGTGCTCCGCTCACCTTGAGCAGGATGTCGGCGATGGTGCCCACCATGTGCATCACGCCGTCTTTCTTCCGGGCCTCCACGCCCGGCGTGGTCATGATCTGCATGCAGAACCCCATGGCCTTCTGCAGGACCTGCTTTCTCTTCTTGGCGCAGGATCGCAGCACGGTCTGAGCGGCAGCAACGGGAGAGATGAAATCTTCAAAGGCATCTGCAAAAAAATACCCAGGAAAGTCAGTCAGTCGGTCAAAAAAAAAAACCCAAGTCATGACATTGGAACAACTACACAACTCAGCAGAAATCTGTTTTGAATTAAATCTCGATAGACAGAAGTGATTAGGAGAATGGCCGTTATTGAGACATACCAAACTTGATCCGGATGTACTCATATGGGTCTTCGTTCCACAGCTCATCATCTTCATCCGTGTAGCACATCAGGGGGAACAGAACCTCTTGAATGATGGGCTGGGGAGTGTCAAATGTTGATGTTTTGAGATTTGGGTAAAAAGTGTCCCTAAAGGATACATGTACCTATAAACTGGCATTCTCAAGCATAAGAGTTTATTTTCACGAAATGCCTTTTCTCAACAACCAGAATTGGATAAAAGCCTGTGTTTTCCATTGACTTTACTTGATTTACTAACCTCACTTGCTGAATTTTTTGTAACTTGAGGTTAGACCTTATTTTATAATACACTTGCGTGTATTTTGAAGGATTCTCAAAAAAGGAAATTGACATTTACCTGAATGTGTGGTTTGATGAAAGTCCATGAGAAAGCATGACTCACTCTAATTGAAAAAAAAATGATAAAAAAGGATTTCAATATTGACAAAATTATCTTTCTTTTAGAAATTAAGACAGCAAATTCAGTGCAGCTCAAGTATCTTACACAGTTTGGGTACCAGAAACTAAGCTTCTCTTGAATTTTTGGTATTTTCAAATGTCTCGCGCTCTTTTGGCATGTTTGCCCAAGCAATCCCCTCTATCAACATCCTCAATTCCAGTGACGCGATCTACTGGTTGGTGGGGACTACGTGCAACAGCGGTATTGAAGTTGGGCCCATCACGAGCCTCCATAGATGTGGAAAGTCCTTTATTGTGGGTTTGACAATGCACTGATATTTTGAACGGTCCAAGAGTGGCCAAAATTTCATCCACTTGTCCCTGCTACGTGTACACTACATAGACATATCACAATTCAACTTGACCACGTTGAGTGGAAGGACAGCTCTGTCCAGGGTGTATGCAACTCAAACACCTTTTGTGGAAATTTGGCAGGTTCTTTGTCTCCCCAGCACAAGTGCAGGGAGACTACAACACAGACACTGCAAAATCAGTCCAGAAGTCGATGTTCTCACCCAGTGTTGATGTAGCTCAAGGTCAGCTGGGTGACTCGTGGTGCGATGTACACTTTCTGGCTGTACTGCTCCAGGATGCCCAGCAAGACTTTCAACGTTGTTGCTGAAAGGATGGAAGAAAGGAACAGATGCCAGACACTGACAGACTATTTGTATCAGACATACCTCCCAGATCCTTCAAAATTTACCAAATTATGGAAGACCAAGGAGAGTACAGCACTTGTTTAGCCGAAACTCGTGAAGGTTTTGATAACCCTCGCCCCTGAGCGCTTTTGGCTTGGATGCATCCTCAATCTCCTCTAACTGTCCTCATGGACAACTTGGATACAGCCTCAGTCCACCAAAATGCTCCTTTGTTTCTGGAATATGTCCCTTAGAAGGATGACCACTGCCTCAGTCCTTCCTTAGATTGAGGCAGTGGTCATCCACCTATGCCGAGGCAATGCAAATGGTATCCTCGAGTAGCATGGTTGTCATGTATAATCTACCTAGGATGTGAATTTATGTATGGAAGAGCATAAACAACACAAGGGTTTGCCCAAGACCTCGACACAATCCATCCTTTGCAATCAGCCACGCCTTTTTACCATTCAGCCTCAGTCCTCCGAAATTCTCCAAATTGCAGAGAGGATTTTGGAAGACTGAGGAAGGACAGGGTTCTTGAAAGAACCAAGCCCCCTTTGGGTAATAAACATGACAATTTTATACACATACATTGATCTATTCACTAACCAATCAGGTTCTCGTGAGAAACTCTGCTAAAATGCAACCCAGCTGAAATGAGACCCCCGCTACGCCTAAGTGCAACAGAATGCAACCTAGCTGAAATGAGAACCCTGCTCAGTGCAACAGAATGCAAGCCAGCTAAAATGAGAACCCCATCGAATGAAACAAGAGTGCAACACAGCTGAAATGAGAACCCTGCTCAGTGCAACAGAGTGCAACACAGCTGAAATGAAAACCCTGCTCAGTGCAACAGAATGCAACACAGCTGAAATGAGAACCCTGCAGAATACAACAACGTTCACTAACTTTTGCCTGCTGTATAATACTGCATGAGCAAGTGCAATGTTAATTTACTAAGGTGTCTTGCAGGGCAACAGTAATTAAACAGAAGAAATCTACACGAGGTTTACATTGCTAACTGTGACATGCTAGCACTACACTGCTAATCAATGCAGGCTCTAGCCTCTTTGGCTGCTATTTTTTTCACCAGTCCATTGGATATGCCAACCATGCCAACACCCTTCAAGCAGACGGCACTCGAGGAATGCAGTGCCCTGCTGGCAAAGACTGCAAAATGGAATGATGGACGGTGTGCACTGGCTGACGGGCAGATCAGCCTGGCATTCCTGGTCACGCTGGTTGCCTAAAACTGTAGCAATGGCCATGCAGTAAACAGACAAGGCACACAGTACAGGGTTTATACAGAATGAAGCTTTCCAACTTACCCGAGAACGTCTTGAGATACCAGTCGGAGAATTTGACATAATCCTTGATCACACTACCAGGACTGCCGTATCTGCCATCAACAACGAAACCACAGACAGATAAAGAAGCCTGCGTAATTGCATGTTGGAAAGCAGAGTGACTAGCTCCTCTGTAACTTGTTCTAGCTGTTTATGAGTATTAAATACACATACTAAATTGATCATTCGTATTAAACGGGGGGAAACAAGACACAGTATAGACCCTTGTTTACCTTTCAAAGACTCTGGACAGGAAGTGTATGGCCCACTTCTTGACCTTCCAGCACGGCAGCTCCGGCCTGTCGTCGATGTCAACTTGCAGTGTGGACTGAATGGGGCGGAATACAATCAATCACATGTTGGAAACTCATGGACAGTTGACAGAGAAATCAGAAACACAAATTTCCTGACTATTCTGGGACCTTCAAGGACTAGAAAAAGACAGTTCCAATGACATTTAATGCCATTTTGCAAAGGACAGTTTGGTATTGTGAAATGGAAGACTGCCATAACCACTACCATAGACGGACAAGGATGGCCTGTGAATTAATAATCATTCTGTTATAACAGGAAAAACAGCCCCTGAACAATGCATCTTTTGCATGATTCAGATTTCCCAGACTTTTCCATGACTTTCCTGAAAAAACTATTTTGCCAGAATTTTCTGTGAAAGCGGAAAACCTGTGAAATCACACTGGCAAAGCATTGGACCACTTATCTTGAATCTTTGCAGTAAATGTACAAAGGTCGGATCGGAAAGTAAGGGCTGAAAAGTACTCCAACGTGAAAAACCTTGGGGGAAAAAAAGGAGCAAAAGTGGCTAAACTGTGTCTTCCGCAACTCTACATGGTTCAATACGTTGACTTTGGAGGGGTTGGCATCCCTGTACGACAAGGATAATGCAACAAGCAGCGCTGTACCTCAGGAATGGGCCTGCTGACTATTGTCTGAATAATCTGCATCCACTCGCCAAATTTGAAGATGTCCCTGTTAACAAGGTCCAACGGAAGGTTGTACTGGAAAGCAAACGAGAAGAAAAACAAATTGGACGTTTGACGATTAATGAAAACTTGGGTGCAATTAACAGATTATACCACACCTTCAAAGCTTTACAAGTGACAAAATGCATGAGAAAACTGCACAGCCAACACCAAGAACTGGATCAGCCATCTGTTGAAGAATTTACGGTTCTTTTATGAGAAATGAGCTCTGCCATCAAGTTTGCAACATACAGCTGCCAACGAAATGCTCGCCTACGGTAATGGTGGTTGGTCTCAGGGAAATTGTGCAGTCACAGGATGGGTCGACGTATTTAGAGCAAACCCTTTCACCTGGATCATGGCGTAGACAATCTTGAGGATCTGCTTCTGCATCAGCAGCGACTGGTCCGAGACGTCGGGCAGGAGCTGGACACAGCGGTGCTGGACCAGGGGTAACAGACGGATCATGGCCAAGTGGAGCGGCTCCCGTTCGTCAGGCTTCTTGTACCTGCAAAAGCCACAGTAGTGCGCACAGAAATCACAGAGGTTAGCTTCAATGTCAATTTTGCAAGGTACTGTCCCATGTAAAATACAGACAAGTTTACAGGGTGCACTTTCACTGAGGAATTGGAACCAAAAAGGCTTCTAATCTGAAGATGTCAAAAAAAGGTGAATATATTGGGCTAGGGGTGAGGGGTTTCAAAGCTCTTTCAATAAGCAGTCTTTGACCTAAAAACTGGACCAGTGGACACATTCTAATAAATGCTGCTGGGGGGCTAGTGATGAGCATTCTTTAATTTGCCTGGCAAACTGGAAAAGAACAATCTCCTTGTTTGAAACTGTTATTTGTCTCATCAGTAAAGATAAATGAAACAAACTAGACTTTTGATTGTAGAATCTTTGACTTGCGAGTTCTAAAATTTACAGCTTGGCTCCACAGTAAAGGTTGAAATGATCAAAGTTTAAAAAGCCAGAAAAGTTAGTTTTGCTGAAAAACGTCCTTGGGGTTTGTGAACATTTCTGCGGGCTGGTGAAAAAATAAGTAAATTTGCTCTCCATCGATGGCTTATGATGGACACAGTCCAGGAGGCCTGAAGCATCGCCGGGGTATTCTGTGCATGTTGTCATGGCAACCGCATCGATGACATCATGTAAGCCTCATGAAATCAGGTTCATCAGCAAAGACCATCACACCAGTGGTGCACTTAAACTAGATAGGTTTTTTATAGCACCATGGATATATCTCTTTTTTTTTAGTATCTGGGGTTCTGAAAAAAACGAGAAAAAAATGAGATATATCCATGGTGCTACCAAAAACTTGCTACCTCCACCATGTAAAGCTTCAAATCTCACTGATGGACTTGTTAGCTATGAATGTGGACTGCATAGGGAGTGATGGATTTTGATGGATTTGGTCCAGTGCCTAGCAAGAGACAAAGCTCAACGTCTGGGCGTGACTAGGCAACCAATCGCGGAGGAAAGCTCTACCATTACTCACTCGTAATTCTTGACCAACTGGTGGACGGCAATGAGGGCACCGTACAGGGTACTGGGGTCATCGACACTGAGAAAGTTGTACATGGTGTCCAGGATGCTGTCCCATCGGCCAGGATAGTCATGCCTGAGGATGGTGCTCAAGCACACTGCCAACTGCACCCTAAGTGAAAGGGGGAAAAAAAATAGAAAATGGAACGGTACCGCGAGCCTTTTTTAAAATTGTTAACATCACCTTTCACTTTGGCAACACTGGACATGCCGGCAATATTCTGTGCCATTTTCAGGGGGCGTGTCAAAACATTCTGGCACAGTTGGCAAGTGACACATACACATCCCCGCAGCCTTTGAGTATCTCATTTTCAGGGAGGAAGAGTTCAACTCGTCCACGGAGGTCAACTCTGTGTGGTATGTGAGCTGCGCTTGGTCACTGTGTGGAATTTGGATGAAAAAGCCCCAAACTGGGGATCTGCATGGACGATTGGGGATCCGCCTGACTTGCCTGATGAGATCGGGCGTGACGATAATGGCCTGGATAATGTTGCTCCTGACCACCACCTTGTCGTCCTCATGGATGCTGAAGGGGATGGGCTCCAGGGGGCTGTCGGGCTCTCGCAGGTTCCAGAATTGGTTGACCATGTTCTTGAGATAGATGACGCCTGCCTGCCGGACAGGGAACAGAATCCCCTCATCCATGACCACCCGCAGGAGGGTGGGCGAAAAGTGGATGATCTTGTGGACCTGCTCCGGCACAAAAATAATCAGAAAAAAAATAATTTTGCACGAGCCAGTGCACAGCAGCATGCCAGATTGTGACCTGCTCGGTGAAAACAAGTTGCCAGACCATTTTTTGTCTCAGTATAAATGTTGTTGCAGTTTGCAACAGAAAGAGCAATTCCAGCTTTTCGTGTCGATCCATTCCTTCAGTTTGGCATTCTGATGACAACGGACAATTACAGTGTGCAGAGATCCTACCGCTTTCATTTTAAAGGTATCTGACTCAAACGAGGCTCTGGGGACTTGTGACAGTAAATTTTTGTTTTACGGAGCAGATCACCACTGTCCTCAAACAGTAATTTGCATTGCAAGGGTTTGGTGGATTTAAGCCCAAACCTGACTGGATTCAACTCTTAACAATTCTCAAAGTGCGAACAGGTAAAACATTGAAACCAACCACAAAACTGAAGAGCTTTCAATTTTGTTCCTTCTGTAAACTTTGTTTCAAGTGGCCAAAAAATATTGACCATTAAGTTTCATCTGTGTACCGGTAGCTTGATGCACATACTTTGTACATATCCCCAATTGTTATGACTCCATCAAGAATTAAGATCACGTAGTTGCTGCTTTGAACGACGAATGTTTTCTGCCACATGTGAAGCGTTCATCACACAATGCACCAACTACACACAACGTGAAAATCAGTGATGTCACCAGCTCTGCAGCGACAGTCTGGGAGCTGGACCACCAAATTAAAAAGTTGATCTAAAGTCTATTCCACTGTGAGGTGACTCTTCTGCTTCCTAAAGATCCACTGCGTGGTATAACATTGGTCCAAATATACATTTATTGCACAATAAATCAGGAAGTTAGCATTCCTGTACACTGTAATGCAGATCATTGCATGTTCACAAGTGACCTTCAGTGAACTCTTACTCCTTTATTTTCATATACCTGTAGTACACCACACACTGCATGGCCGCAGTATATGCACATGTACATGTAGGTGTACATGTACATGTTCAAACATATTAGCACATGAAGTGACTTAAATCAAACACTTCAATGCAACTGAGAGGGCTAAACTCGAAGTCTGAGAGTAACTCGTAAGCCACTTTGATTTCTGTTTCTGAACAACTGGTGCGGACCAAAATATACTCGTAACAGTATAACAACACTTCCTGCACGCAATGTGGGGTGCCTACCTGTTATGCCTAGGGAATGAGTTTATCAACAGGTAACGTTTGGCCAGGCCTTAGTCCAGGAGACCCTTTATTCCATGGACCCTCTATCCTAAATCTGCGCACATAAGGCTTTGAAACTAATACACAAAGCCATGTGCAAACAGCACCCTCTTCTGATTGGAAAAAGGTTTTCTGTCGTTCACCGCGCACGTGCGGAGGTCAGAACGTAAGCAAAAAGTAACATTTTTTGCCAAAAGTAAGCAGCCCAAATGAGAGGAAAGATGGGGCAAAGAGATGATTTTGATCCCGGCTCAGTGACCAGTGACTCCAGCGACTTTTAACTAACATACATGCCTCCTTATTTATATATACCATCAGCCTTTTATTTTCCGAAATGTCAAATTCTGCACTGGTAAGCTGATAACAAATTTCGGGTTTTTAACATTTTTTTATATATGGGCTAGTAAAATATCCATTGAACTAGCCAGGAAAAAAAGTTTGCGCAAGGCCTAATTAACCATCCACATCCACCCGGTCTATAAATCATCCTCCGAAAAATTACTACAATACTAGGCCTGTGCCCAGTATCAGCCCGTCAATACCAAAACCTGGTTCCATTTTTCAGGCCAGGTACCCATAAAAATTCCACTATAAAACATATGTGACATGACCTCCAATAGCAAAGGGCCAAATTGCTGAAAAATTATGGTGCCACTGAAACACCTGGTCCCACTGGATGTAATTTCCAAATGTTGGCTGTTCTACATAGAGATTTTGACAGATTTTGATGTCGGAAATATCACTGAAGCCCCAAAAGTTTTGGTATTTTTGGTGAGTCTTTGGAATTCTTGAGACTTGTCTCTTTGCTTTATGTACTGTCGTGGAGCGTTAGTATGACGATCCCGTCCAAAATCAAAAAAGAGGAATACTAATACTCCACTCAGTAGAGCTAGACTGATGTAGGATTCCACAAATGTGTGTTTGGCCTGTTATGCCCCAACAATAGCATAAGTCCCAACTATAGTTGGGACAGTCCTAACTAGTGTGCTGCAGTTGGACTGGCCCAACTATTGTTGACCAATGTCTGTGGGAAATGTCTCAACATTATCCAAGTCAATGTGTCTCACACTTGACACAATTCATCTAAAATGGGGCACTTCACATGCGTCATCTGTTCATCTGGCACTATGACCGATGACATTCGTAAACAATATGACTATGGCACATGCTGGGCACATCATGCACACAGGACCTCTCTCTTGTAGTTGGGCCGGCCCAACTGTAGCACTCTAGTTGGAACAGACCCAACTAGTCTATAGTTGGGAAAGGTCCAACTATAGTTAGGACTGATGCTATAGTCAGGTAGCACAGGCCCGAGGCCTAGTTGGGGCATAACAGGCCTGATAGTTCAGAACACTTAAGGAAAGTGGTACAATTGTTCACACAACTGTAAACGTCAGCCGGCTTAAATAGGGCAACATAAAGTATGGAGTAAATATGTGATTTAGGCCTGCGCCAATATCAATAAAGTACACTATACAGACACGTGCTTGCGCAATACCACGGTCATGACGACTGGCCATGCACGTCAAAATACACGAGCCGGGTTTGTACCGTCGCAGAATATTTTCGATTCTATACTCACCTCACCAAGCTGTTTTTCGGCTTCTTCTCGGGTGTCTGGATGAATAGAACCCTGCAGAATCTGAACCAGATTCTGTTGGTCCATGTTGTCCGTTTTTTCTTGTACGTTTATGAGACAAAATGTTAGAGATTCTCGGCTAGACTCGCGCCGCAATACTTGTTATTGTAATTGCAGCGCGCCACATGAATTCGTAGTGCGCATGTGTATGGCTCTCTAAGTGTTGTCCCGAGAGGGCGCTGCTGTTACAGCGTGGTTTTATTTGTAAGTTGTAGGGATGATGGAACTCGACTTTTCAGAACAAATGTGAAGCAATGTTCCAGTTTCAATTGATGACCGTAGGTTTATGAAGAAGATGAAAGAAAGGATCTGTCAACAACCAGATGTCCATCGCATCATGCCACTCCCTTTCAAGAAGAATGAACCTCCTATATGCACTGCAAACAAATTTGTAATAAAGCGACTCGCTACTGAGTCCAACTAAAGACAAGCTTTTTCGCGAAGAGTCAATAAAAAACGGTAACATTTTATAGACTACTGTTACTTCATGCATACACCGTCATTGATGGCAGCTGTGCAGAACATGTGGCAGAATCTGGGCTACCATGTGAAGACAGTGGTCACGTTTGGCATATACCTCACCACAGTGTATAGGCCTACCACGTCAACATGGCCAAAAAAACCTAAGAAGATCAGGGTGGTTTTCGACTGTTCGTGCTAGATATCACGGATCAACGATCACCCTCTTTGAGGTCCAGACCGAGTCTTACCATGATGGGCTTACCAACCCTCGTGGGTGTACATGTACTCTGCAGATGTAGAAAAGACCCTCGGGCACTCATTTGCCGGCAAGGTAGAGCAGATGTTGTACCACAGTACACCAAGTAAACGTCGCTCGCCGGCAATGTTTTCTCGGATGACTGTAGTACGTGTTACAATTGGATGATGTGAACGAGATCCTCAGGTGTTTGGTATGAAGGTACGCCTGTTTGATGGTGCCAGATCATTTTCAGATTCTTAGTGACTGGATATCGTCGCAAGGCATCATTATCCATGTGCCAGTGCCGTGCGAGCGTAAAAATAGGGTTATGCTATAAGATGTTTTTTAGGGCTATCTTGAATCCTGATGATGATGATTGATGAACAAGATCAGTGGAGAGCTAATTCCAGTCTACATCAATCGTCTTTGGAAATAAGCTCTGCTGATATGCCTGTGTAGCCTACGACAATTCAAAGATGCATACTATCGGTCATGTCTACTTCTCCAAGTCTGCGATCTTTCCACTGGGGATGATACAGGATGTTGACAGCAATTTCTTTATGAATAAAACAATAAAAAGTTGTGAGTCTACTGGTTTTACTACGATGTTGAAGGGTGCCATTGGAGATTTTGCTGTACACATCCATAATACTTTACATTCTTTTGTAGTCACCTGTTACAAATCTTGCCGCTTGCCTCTGTGCTTTTTCCAGTTTATGAATGAGATTTGACTGATGGGGCTCCCAGACTACAGCTGCATATGATATTCTAGCTGAGGCAGAATCAAGGTGTATATAGGCTTCTTCTTCAACAGCTGGCTCGCATCTGGAGAGGTTACGTCTCACAAAGCGTTCTGTAAGTAAGCCTTGTTTACAATTTGATTGATGTCGAGAGAACGAGACAAATTTTTTGAAGTCATCTCCAGGATGTAAAAATTTCGGCTCGAGGCGGAAAGCTGACTACTTTGAATCAGAGCTTGGGTTCGCAGCGGCTTAATTATACTTCGCGCATTCAACGCAATTTCTATGTGGGCTACAGACTTGTTCCAACCAAAGAGTAAGCTTTCGACCTGATCCAGAGGACGTGGCAAAGGATCTTTGCAACGCTATGGCCTTCGTCTAAATAAGTTCATCAGTTGCTGTTACTCTGTAGGAGTTCTCACGCAATTGACTTGATGGAGTGCAGAGATACTCTGAAACAAACATACAACCTCATGCTTTTGGAAGCCGTGCATGGGAGTTTAACCAACTCCTGCATCATTTTTGAAAAATAATCCAGAATTTTAGATCCCAACGAATCTCTTTGTAAAGCTTAGAGGATGCGGGGGTAAACAATTATGTCCTCATCTGTATATTACTTGAGATTATCTTATAAGTGTGAGTAAATTTAGGGAATATTTATATCAGATGTTTGGCTACCTGTTGGATATAAATTTTGCGGTGAACTAGGCTTTGTAGTTTCATCGCAGGGAGTAGCAGCGTCTGTTGTTGAATAATTTTTTATTAGTCAACAGAGGGCGCTCTTTCATTTTTACGGTGAAGCAGGCCAGGCCACGGACGGGTATAAATAAAAATCTGGACTCGCAATGCCCTTAATCAGCTTATAGAGATCGTTGAATCCACTAGCGGCCATTTTACCAAGCCGAATACAAAGCTTGCCCGGCAATGCCCGCCTTTAGTTCTCCCTGGCGTCAATAGAAGCGAGCCAACCCCACTGACGTATATGAAAAACCTTGACTTGCAACGCCTTTGTATGAAATAGAAGCCAACCAGCGGCCATTTTACTGAGCCGAATACAAATGCGCGGGTAGCCACTGGATGTCTCGACGGCATAATCCAAGGGTGTCTGACGTCATCGGGTAGAGTTGTAACGTCAAGGTACCCACCGGCCTGAAGGATATAATCACTGCACTAAGTCAGTGATAGCTTCAAGTTCAAGTTGTGGTAGCCACCAGACTTCAGCAGTGTGTCATCGTAGGTGGCTTTCTGGACATGCTTAATGGTTTTCTTCATCCAGTGTTTAGTTTCGACGAAACATGTTTTTACATGGGCTTTTGAGTTATTTGTATTCTTGCAAGAGGGGTAGAGCTGTGTACATGGACTTTGCGGGGGGGGGCAAGAGGGGGCACTTGCCCCCCCACCCTTAACAAATAGGGGAACATTTGAAAAAAAACGGGGGAAAATGAAGTTAATAAAAATAAGAGAGGAAATGGGATGCCAAGTCACGGATTTGCTTTTAAAATATATCGTCCCTCCAGCCTTTAATGGGTTGATCATCAATTCTCATCCGTCGCCAGGTTTGTTTCATCTTTTTCTCGTTGTGGATAAAAAAATAAATACCTTGGAAAACATCCTAGCGACACCAGTGGCTGTGTATCATCAACATATAATAGAAAACTAACATCATGTCGTTTGAAAACTTCAATGGTACAAGATAGGTTGTAAACAAAATAGACCCAGAGTGCTACCCTGACTTGGCAAACCCAGTGTTAGCCCTTTGAGTACAACCATCCAAACAATACTGGTGAAGCTCAGAAGCGCTAGCTCTTTTATCCCATATCTGTTTTCCAGTCTACCAATTAAACTGGGTGATCAATGGTATCGAAAGTGGCTGTTTATGTCATAACCGAAATTACTTCTTAGTGATTGTCAAGCAAAATGAAAATGTCGTTATGAACGTTTATCAAACAAACTCGGTGCTGTTATAATGACGATAGGCCAATTGAAATGTTGATAGCAATGAGAGTACTTCGATCCAAATACGCCTGAGGTTGGTCAACGACTCTGTTTTCAATTGTTTACTGACAAAAGGTTAAATTAGACACAAGTCTGTAATCACGTAGCTCATTTGAATCTAGATTAAAAGTTCTGACTAAAAGGTAGGTGCAATGAAATTTCTTTAATGCTAACCTTCAAAATACACCTTTGTGGCTCAGTTAACCTTATTAGCAGCTTTTGTTTCACTATCTCAAAGGGTAATGTACTGCAGTTTTGGTTTATATCCCCATTAAATTTCCGTAGTGAAAAAAACTGTGATGTCCTTCCAGGAAGAAGGACTCAGTATTACTTTAGGTTGAACACAAAAATGTCCTGCCTTTTTGTAGATTTTGTGGGACTAAATTTCCCTTCTTCTTCATTCATTGTTGTTTATACATGCATGATAGCAATAAGCAAGCATAAAGCTTTACCCAGAAATGCTGTCAGTGAGCAAATTTGGGGTTCACAATTTGAACATCTTAATGAAACCTTTGCACTGAACTATGTCCTCCCCCAGCACCCTCAATTGTCTTGGAAAGCATGGATAATTGAACGCTTTAAAAAAAGCATTTGTAACAAAAAAGAAGAGTACAATGTTGCAGAAAAATGGTCTCGGAAATATTCATTGCTGCTACACTTTAAAAATTGAGGGCATCTCAAACCAAACTGGGCAGCTACCGACAGTGCCCTCACTCCATGCTTACCTAAGGCTGAGGCAAAATTATCCTCGAGCCAGAATATGTTTATTTGTTTGTTTGTTGGTTGGTTGGTTGGTTTGTTTGTTTGAAAATTATTATACTTACTCCATGCCGTTTGCTATAACTATTGAACTGAAAATCCATTTTGGCAATCTAAAAAGCTGGAATACTTTTCTAAAAGCCTGTTTTGGGAGAAGAACAGGTAAAGCCTCTTCGGTGATGGATTTTGGTTTGACATGTTGGCAAAAGAATTTACACCCTCCCTTTTATACAAAGGAGTTAACTGGTGCTCAACTTTTGTTTTTCAGTTGCACTTTAAGGCAAAAATGCAGCTTTGACTGACTTGCAGCAGTTTGCATGATTGGTTCCCAACTCTTATGATGACATTCAAAATATATCATGAATTACGTGAAGTTATTAGGTCGATATTACATATTAGATACCATGTCCATAGAGAGGTGGTTTTGTTTAGCTTTTTCTTTCATACATCTTGTGAAAATAAAACATAAAGTACAACATAAAGGACATCCTACGATAACCTCAAAAAGGTATATCCATAACATTCATGTACCAAAATTTTCATTACAAGACTATAAGACTTGAACACACATTTATGTCACAAGCGAACATTATTCTTTAAAAAAAAGACCCTTTAAAGAAAAACTAAAAATAATGACATTTCAAATATCACCAAGAAGGATGGTTTTTCCTTGAATCTGTTGGTTCTTACTGGAATTCGAGAAAACATCTGATAATTTTGGAGATGTCTTCCGTGGCTCAAAATCTGGACGGGGAGAGCAAGGACGGCAGGGGGTGCGAGTGTTTTACTCAGGATTTGAGTAAATATCATAGTGGACTAGCCTCCTATCTGTACGGCTTTAGAGCAGTTTCCTGTTTCAGAGTTAGTGTGAGAATTTTATTTCACGTGATCTTGGGAAGCAATAAAATATGTCTCGTTGAAAAGTGAATTCTTGTTTATACAGCCACTTCGGCAAAACAAATTTTATCTCATCAACATGACCAACCTTCGCTTTCCAAAAAGGAATTGGGGTTTTTCAGTCTCAAAATCCATGAAAACAAGAATGAGTTTACACAATGGAGGGAATAGGCTCAATAATACTCCCTAGACAGGGGGGTGGTGGTAAGTGTCTTTAAACTGTGCTACAGCCACTTAAGAATATCTTCCAGCTAGAAAACCACCTTTTAAGTACCTTGAGGCAATTACATGTATATGCTTTCACAAATAAATTGTGAATAACCATAAACAAAAACCATGCATGGTGCTTACAAATAATTATAAAGATGACCACAGAAATTGACTGGACCGAGATTTAAACCTGAGACCTCCGGAAGACCGTACTGGTGCTGCACCAACTGAACTATCAAGCCTTGTGTTAGTGATTTTTCCCACATGCCAATATCTTTGTTTGGGGAGCGCTAGTCAGAAGCCATGAACCTGAAATACCACGTAGCCAGGATCACGCCTCAATAGCACGATAACTACCAAAAGACAGAAAATAAATACTAAAAGAATTCTGAACCGCACAACTAGCTTATCAGGCAACTCCTTTGCCCTATGAAACTCTCACGAGGCACTTTGCCCAAATTGATTCAAACTTTTTTCAAAGGCCTCTGCCAGATCCTACCAGAGATTGTTTTGAATGAACACCATATTTTTCTGAAACTTCGAGGCTTCTGACCGGTCCTAGCACCGGGATTATTTTTTGAGAAGACTGAATTAGAAATACCAATTAACCAACAGTAGTATATCTAAATGAGGTGCCTCAAACATCCCCAATTATTTGTTCCCTTGTTTTAACGTATGTTTGCTCAATGCACCATACTAATCCTGACCATGTTCCAGACCTTTACCGCCCAGCTCCTAAAAATTAACTAATCGAATCATTCTGCAGTGCAAGTTACACCAACCTAAGGTGACGCCAAAAACTAACCCCGATCTCCCCAAAATGTACCCTTTTAAACCACTGGACTGGATGCTAAACGCAGAATCTTATGTATTACATCAGTCTACGCTCGCAAGTCTAACAAAGTTGTACTTACAATTTTTGTACACCTCTAAAAATCATCATTCTATGCAATCTATTTACAACTCCCGATGACCACCTTATCATTGAATCCTACACCCCAATTTGTTAAAGAAATAATCATTTTTTTTTCACTAAAGTATGAAGAGTCCCATAAACGTAAAGAAAAAGATAATTTAGAAAATGAGCGACGTCATCTCAGTGTAAATACCCATAATACTTTCTAACATGAAAAGCGAGGAGACAATCTGCTTCGGTGCTTGGAAAATGACTAACTACCGATTTGGCCATAGAAACTATGTCTTGGGACAAAGTTGGGAAGAATTCAAACAAAGATAAGCTTCGGTTGATACAAGTTTGGTTTTACTGTCTAAATCAGGAAATAATCGAATAAAACTTTGGACCAATGGGGCGGTAAATTAGAGAACTGCAGATGGTCATTTTGAATTTTCCCAACTTCAGTCTGTTGGTCGTGACGGTTGAAAGAAAAATCAATAATATATCAGATACCTTCGGTCACTAGAAGCTTCAAAATCCTTTCGGACTGTCACATTATCACGGGGTACGTTTCTAGAACATGACCAAGGGGCAATTTTGTCACGTTTTCTACAGTAAAGCTCATATCAGCCACCAACCAAATTCCTTTAACTTTTTTACCTTCGCGTCATGTCCTTTAACAAAAGTCAAGTGCAAAACAGTTGTGTCATTGTGTTTTTCTCTCCAACCCACCCAATGAAAATATTTTCTTCCATCGGGGTAGTTGGTTTCATTGAGTGTTTTTATTTTAAGACCAGGAACTCGCTTCTCTGAGATCATCTGGTTCATGATTCTTTGATCTGGCAACCATGTATGAGAATTTAGCAATCGCACCCACTCTCTCACAAAACGCAAAGTATTGTTTGTTCGTCTATAATAAGCAAAACCGTCACAAAACGCAGCTACGTTGTCTTTCTCGTTATGCATAGCGATGTCGAAATTCCCTTGGAGGTCTTCAAAGGGATCTTTGAACCAGAAGGTATCCGAGTCCACGAAAAGTACATCGCGTCCTTTTTCGAGCAGGGAGAGGACATAATGCGGACGCCTTCTGACAAACTGAGTGTATTGTGGTGAGTCGAACATGAGGCTTTTGGATTCGGTAGCTCCTAAATCAGATCTCTGGACGTGCAAGCCCCGCTGGGATTTCATCCTCTTGGTTAGGATTTGGTACGACAGCTCATCTTCGGCAATGATTGTGATGCTCGGGCAGGCCCGGGCTCTCTTGACACTCTCTAGCATGTTCTCGGTCACGTCGAGGAAGCCAGCGTTTGTCGTCACTAACACGATCGTGCCCGACCATCTTTCTATGTCTTCCTGCGTGCACGACAGCGAGTGTGCATATGAGGTGGAGGTACCGTTCATCGCTAATTCCCAGGATGGTGATTTGTGGGACGCGCTAGCACTAGGAAGTGAAACGTTATGCACGGCCTCATGACCGGACGAGCTTGTCTTCGCACCGACATATTCAGCCCGTCCTGCAACAGATTTAATTAAGGCCACCCGCCCCACTTCATATTTCCGAAATGCAAGGATTATCTGCCAATCTGCAAATAGAATAATGAATACCCGTCAATGGTCACATCTTTCCGACATTCCTATTCTACAACTATGATTTCCGGTAGTAGTTCCCCAACATGATATTTATCAACGTCAGAATAAAACCTTCCTCGTTCACAAACAAAACAAAAACACCTTCATCTTTTCAAAGGGGCCATGATCAGTTAAATACGTGGAATCATTGAGAGGAATCAAGGGGGAATGAAAGGAGACCATAGCTATTTCAAATACATGGAATCTTGAATACCCTTGTACGTCCGAATGCTGTCTGCCTGAGGCCTATCTAGCTTATTATTCGAAGTGTGAATCTACTAGAAGAAAAATCGTTATCCGGTTCACATGAATTGTATGCTATAACTGTTTGATGTCACGCATAGGTGAATCGTATAACAAGGCCTTTTTTTTGGTACTTACAAACACAGACAGCGGAGAAAGATGTGAAGACCCAGAATACAGTTTTTCTAAGCATTCTTGGCGTGATCAGATACAAGATTAGCGATGAACGTTGTTAAGACGACCGACACAATGTGACTTTCCTCGAGTGGTGGAATTTATTTTTGTACAGGTTTAGGGCCTACAGGATAGCCTACCCCAGTTGTTCTGTAGCAAAACACATTCAGTTTATGATCTCCGGTCGTTCTCCAGTTAACTAGGAAGTGGATCTGGAAATAGAGGAACAAAGACACAAAAACAAAAAAGCAGTCTGAACTGAAAGCACTTACAAACGGAAGGAAAATGGTCGAGGAACAGAACGTCACACGACGAAGACTCTGGCTGAACTGAAGGTAGACTTGACCCAAGTCAGGATCTCTGTGACGTCTTTGTTTACGCTTTGGATAGATATCGAGACTGCGCGCCATTTCGCGCCCTCTTTGTGTCCACTTATTACTATGAGTTCAGTTTAGAAATCCCGACTTGACGAATCTGCCAACCGTTTGTACACAGCGAATGGGCTCATCTACCAAGAGTGGTAGCCGCCAATTACATTGCCGGATTTGTTTTTAAGTCGTTCATAACGGCATTATTATAATGAACGAGTCTACAAGTCTGACTACTTCGATTGGTGGAAATTCCGTACATTACGCAAGATCGCGTCGTTCATATGCAATTATGAATGACTACATATTACCGATGGGGTCTGATTAGCTTATCCGTCAAGTCGGACTTACTGACTGATTATGTATGACAAATGTTGAGCAATAAAGGCTATCAAATAAGGGCATATTACAAGGGTTATGCGAGATACCGGGACGACCGCGACGACCGTGCATGCAGTGCGTACGGGCTGAAGGGATGGCTGACTGGGGAAGAGCAACATAAGTCCGACTTGATTCGAGTCTAGACTGAAGGCAATAATGTCAAATAAAAGAAAATGAACAGAATGTATAATTTCTCGAAGAATTAAAGTCTGGGTCTGTAACCACCTATGCCATCATGGCATATAATGACATCCATTGCTCAAGCTGTCATTACTTTCAAAAATATACGGTCCTTACCTGCCATTTTATTGAGGCCCCATTCCAACGAATGAGAATTAGAAGAACATTGAAAATGAAAGATAATTATATCCACCTCGTGGAAGAACTTGAAGGGAAAACAAGAGATACGTTTGTAAGTAAACAAACGCGCTGTTTTGGCTTTCAGATGAACAGTCTTTGCTCATGAATGTTATATAAATGTTTCAGAAAAGTACTGACGATCGTACAAAAACGTGTAAAAAACCAACGGAGAAAACTGTACGCACCTTTAATCATGTCACATCAACCATGACGCCACCAACATATTACCATCAATTGTTATACAATTCCTTTTCTAGCTTTCTGCCAAGTTTCAACCCAATCGGACATGTACTTCAAGGGGTACAGTGCCTTAAGAGTGCACCTTTAATGTCACGTGACGTGTCCCCTGATGATGTCATCACCACATCTTCTCAATATTTGTCAAAATTACTTCCCTTTTAAGATATCAGCAAGGTTTGAACACAATCGGACATACAGTTCAGGAGAGGGCTACGAAGAGTGCACCTTTAATGTCACGTGACTTGTCAACTGATGAATTAACTCACCACCACATTTGTCTACAGCACTTCCCTTTCTAGAAGCGTAGGCAGCTTTCTAACGATGTGCTTTGTAATGCTGTGTCAATCTATATTGCATTGTATCCATGACTTAGTATAACACACGGATATTTCAGAATGTTATGTCAGAAACCTAATTTTGGTAAATTATATTGATTGATTGATTGATTGATTGATTGGTTGGTTGGTTGGTTGGTTGGTTGGTTGGTTGGTTGGTTGGTTGGTTGGTTGGTTGGTTGGTTGGTTGATTGATTGATTGATTGGTTGATTGATTGATTGATTGATTGATTGATTGATTGATTGATTGATTGATTGATTGATTGATTGATTGATTGGAGTTCCTAGGAGAAGTTCCTGACATGTCTGCACAGGACACCACATCAGCAAGAATGCAGAACATCCGTCCAAGGGCTGGGAACAACGAACTTTGAACTTTGCTGAAATCGTTATTGTGCTGTTGGTTAAATGTGACGCCGTGCCCCTCCGACGAAGGCGAGGGCGCCCTCCTCCTCGCGTCTGACGGCAGGTACCGGAGAGTCCCTGAGCGGCTAGGGACGAGTCCGTTGAGACCAAAGTATACCGTCCCTCAAGAAAGTTCAATGATCTCTGGTCTTTGTTGAGATAATGCCTAATCTGATTAGCCAAAACTTAGTGACGCAATCCAGACAGAACAGACTGGAAATAAACTTCGTCTGGACACCTGACTTACATAAAATAATGAAAGTGGCTGCTTTTATTCATCAAAGCTCCTTCAATCACATTCAACCGATACACCAGTAGAGGGTGCTATTGACGGGGAGACTGTGATTATACGTGACCGGACCAGACTTCGCCCGGAGCAGTGAACACCACAATTATTTGTGGGCATCCAGTGCCGAATCAGGGACTTTAGCAAGTCTACAGGGCTTATTGTCAGGGCTGCACTACACGCAACTCACGTCACGAGATAGCAATCCGCCCTTATACCGACCGCAAACTCCTATCAGGAACTATACCGCACCACCAATTAGCCCCTCAACCTACCGAGCCCCTCAACGACACACACACCAATCGGGACTTAGGCACAGTTACACAAGGCTAGGTGACTTTAACCCTTGCACAGGATTCTCAACCCTTACCTCAGAATCAACCCTTGATCAGGACAACTAAACCTTGCCTGCGCGCCCCTTTCATAGCTTCGCGAGCCGGCTACATGTGACCAGCAGTAACTTCGCCGCGCCTAGTGACTAGCGCACTCTGTCACGTCACAGTAATTTAGCAGTACCATTTGCAATGTATTTTACCTGATTTACATGTTTCATTGCAACCTTTCATTTATTGTGACTTTGCGTTTGCCATGGTGCAAATTTTGGATTGTAGTTAACATGTACATGTATTGTAACTTTGCATTGGTCGTATTATAAATATTAAGGTTGCAAGATGCCTTCTTCTAGTAGTAATAAATCTAATTTAACTAGAGTAAGTAGTGTCAGAATAACAGCAGCTGCTACACTAGCAAGACTAGCTGCTGAAGCAAAGAGTATGGCGGATTCAAAGGCTATTGAGGAAGAAGAGCTGAGATTGATGCAGCGCAAGAGAGAGTGTCAGCTGAATATTGAGATAGTCAAGCTAGCTAGGCAGAAGCAGAAGAGAAAGCGCTTCGAAACATTGAAGAGCAGTCATCTTGCAACACTCTGAGGGAGCTGTTTGCTGTGCTGACAACCAAGGAGAAGGTGGGACAGTAGCTAGAAGATGCTGTAGACGTGTCTCCGCATTCTGATTTAGAACAGCCTGAACAAGAGGCAATGCAACCAGCACAAGAGCCAGTGTAGCTAGCCCAAGAGCCAGAGCAGTCAGCACAACAGCCTCTACCGGCAGTACAACAGACCGTGCAGTCACCGGAGCAGACTGAGCCGGCAGCACCATCAGCGCAGCCCATAAAAGTCCTCTCCCGACAGTGGTTTGGTACTGAACTTGCAGTATAAGATGATTGATGCTATGCAGTTGCTACAGAAGTTTGACGGAGATCCACTCCAGTATTTGGGTGCTTATCCGCAGCTTCGATGCTACAGTGGGAACACCAGTGTCGATAATGGCGTGAAGCTCAATCGCCTATTCCATTACTGTACAGCAATGGCAGTTATCCGTAGCTGTGTTGTTATGTAGATAAAGGCAGGCTACATGAAAGCTGGAGAACTCCTCAGGGATAGATTTGGAAATGACGACAAGATTTCTGACGCTTGGGTCCATAAAGGTCACAGAAGGCCCTCGTGTTGCCCCTGGTGACAAAAAGACAATCTAAGGTTCGGCTGATGACTTAAGAAGCTGCACTCTTGCTCTTAGAGCGATGGGAAAGCTGGAGGAGATCGATACTAAGAAAAGCCTTGAAGACATAGCAAGGAGATGCCAAGGACCCTTCAATCCAAGTGGCGCTCAAAAGCCATTAGTATGCTTGAGGACACAGGTCAATATCCGAACATGAGCAAGCTGGTTGAATTCCTCAGTGGAGCCGCAATGGGGGCAAATGCTCCAGTGTTCGGCTTCAAGGATCATAAGGACAAGTCTGCAAAAAACAAGAGGTTCCAACTTTAGTGTGGATGCATCGTCCAATCAACAAAGCCTGAGAAGCACCCAATCAAAGAAGGGAGCGAAGGCCAATGGGAGGAAGCCAAGGCCAACAGCCTGTCCGTTGTGTTCCAAGGGCCACACTCTGGCCATGTGCTCCGAGTTCATGAACCTGACAGCTCCTGAACGACTGGCCGTCACAAGGGATAAGAAACTGTGCTTCAGTTGTCTTCTGGAGAAACGGCATTTCTCTAGGAGATGTGAACAGGCTCCATATGGTGTTCTTGGTTGTCAAGGAAGGCACTCAAAGATGCTTAATGATGCTTTCCAGGCAGTCCTTCCAGTGGAAGTCCGTTAGTCCAGATGGAGTCCACTCCCTCTACTACTCAGGGGAGTCAGGATCTTCAAGCAACCAGCTATGTGTGTGGAGGATCATAAGTACCGGCCAGGATAGCTTTACCAGTGGTCGCGGTGATGGTAAGGGGCAGGGGTAGGGAAGACTGGTTGAAGACTTACGCCTTGTTGGATCCTTGAAGTAACAGATCTTTCTGTTCACTGGACTTGACAAAAATGTTGAACCTTGATGGTGACTTACATCCCATGTTCATAAATGCCCTCAGTGACACTTCGTTAGTCGAGATTCTTGTGGTCTCTCTAGAAGTTGCTGGAGTCAATGAAAAGGCTTGGCGTGGGGCACCTTTTTGTTTGAAAGAGGTGTAGTTGTGCTACACATGAGCATCTGCAGAAATTTGAGCATCTTAAGGACATCCTTCTTCCAGGCGTGACGAGCAAAGGTGTGACGATGCTTATCAGTCAGGATGCACATCATCACCTGCTTGTATCTCATGACGTGAGACTTGGACTAGGTGGGGAACCTTACGCTGTAAAGACAGTGCTAGGGTGGACTATAAATGGTCCCTTGACTAACAGAGCACCCCAGCGGGCTACCACACACTATGTTCGAGGAAATCTAGAAGCGCAGGTGGGACGTTTCTGGAAGCTTGATACTGGAGATGCTTCGGTTTGTGACTCACCTGCAATGTCCATCAATGATAAATAGGCAATGGCTATTTGGGAGCTTTCTCTGCATGTGGTAGACGGGCACTACCAGCCGGCCA